CTTGGAACTTGAAAGCAGAGGCTGAAACCCCAAGGCATGCTACCGTGACACAGAAATGGAGCTGGAAAGACACTTCCAGCATAACTGTCACAGTGTTTCTGGGTCGCACCTCACTTGGCCATTGATTTATTATTCCTTTTACCTATGCTTTTCAGTTTCTTCTCTTCAAAGTATGCATTTTGTGCCCTTTTTGGTCTCAGTAGGATAAGAACAATCTCTATTGAACAGGTAAGAGATTATTCAGGCATGGGCATACGGTGCCATTTATACTACTCCTGGGGAGATTAAAATGTTAATGGGCAACTTTTGAAAATCAAAACTTTAGGACCTAAGAGAATGAGACCTGTGGTAGAATGACAAAGGTGATCTACTTAGGGAGGAGTTATCTCCTCAGCTTGCTGCTGGATTTGTTCCAGGACAGAAAAAGTAACTGGGGGATTGTCCACCACTCAGCGCCTTCTTATGCTATTTGCAGCAACATGAATGGAGTTAGAAGGGATTATGCTCAGTGAAATAAATCATAAGGAAAAAGAAAAATATCAGATGGTTTGACTTATAGGAGAAATATAGGGGAACCAAATAAGATAGAAGGGGAAAAATAATAATACAAAACAAAAGCATTTATAAATCAGAGACATCCTGCAGGGGAGGAGGAGGGAGAGGGGTCAGAATGAGGGAGGGAGAGGTACAGAGGACTGTGGCAGGGGTGAGTTGGGGGAGGAAATTCTATGAGGTCTACTACTGAGGGGGAGGGGAAGTAAACATTGTTTTAAAATGAACAATAATGTAAAATATATAAAAATAATTTTGTTTTTAGAAAGAATGAAGACTTCGGGGCCTTCTGGTAATGTAAGGGGTTAAGTGTTAGTACTTAGCTATTGGCAGCTATTGCAATACAAGTTTGATCCCCAGCCAGGTTGCTGACCCACAAGGCAAGGCAGACCTCTCCTGTCTCCCCCACTGCTCCCCTCAGCAGTGTATTTCAGTATATTCACCTGTTCTGCTCCCTATACTGTCTCTGGTAAATCTTCTCATACACCCCCCACCCAAACACACACACACACCTCTGGCCTACACCCCAAATCTTAGAGGCATAAATAAATAAAAAAAATCAATCACAAATTTGTTCAGTTTTGCTTTTCCCTCCCTTTTTTTCTGAATGTACCGTAATCTTCTGTAAACTTTCAACATTTTTTTTAAATATAGTGTCCCAATTATCATTTATGTCTGTTACTATCCATGAACAAGTACAAGTAACTATCAAAGTCCCCTTAGGGAATCAGAATTTAGGGGGAAAAGTAATTTATTTCCTTCTTAGATATTTTTCACACTGTTTAATCATACACATACGACAATTTTTATGATTTCCATGCAAATCAAATGTTTCCAAGTCCAAAACAGAATGTGTAAAGCAGTGCTAGTAATTACTATTTCTCCAATATTTTAAGGCTGGCAGTACATATTATCCTCATTTGATACTCACATCCAGACTGTGTAATGGTCAAGATGGTAAACAGTTGCCCAATTTACAAATGTGGATATTAGGGAGCCTCCCTGGTGGCGTAAGGGTTTAAAGCACAGCACTATGAAGCCATTCAAGGCCACTGCAGCAAGCATTGGATCCCCAGCCAGGGAAGTGACCCACATGGTGCAGCAGACCTCTCCTGTCTTGCCCCTCCGCTCAGCAGCCTGTTCTGCTCCTCACTCTGTCTCTTGTGAAACCTCTGACCTGTATCCCAGTTCTTGTATGCATAAATAAATAAATCTTTAAAGAAATGAAGATGGTAAATCTCATAACTTGCAGAAGTTATTGAACTGACTTAGACCTCAGCCTTTAATTCTGACTTCCTCCTCCTTCCATTCTACCACCAGCTAGTTGTCACCATCTGCATATCTGTTCTAGTTGGCAGCTTATTTTTGAGCCCCTCTTAACTTGACATCTGCTGAAACCAACTTAGCAAAAGGCACTATTAGATCTCATCTTAAATTTATGTTTTTTTTTTAAGTAATCAGTCAGGTTTGGCATACTTAAATAAGGCAGAAATATATTTCATGACCCACGTACTCTTAAAATTAGCTATTTAGTTTTTGTTTGGAAGTTGTTTCAGCATTTTGAGTTTCTCAAGTTTCTGTGGCATAATCTACTGATAGCCTCATAGGGTACGTGGCAACTAGCTTTTTCCATTGTTGCTTTTAAGATCCTTTTTTATCTTTAACTTTTGCCATTTCATTATAATATGTATTGTTGTGGATAGTTTTTGGTCCTCTTATTTGGAACTCTCTGTACTTTTTGCCCTGCTTGTTTGTTTACTTCATCAGATTAGGCAAGTGTACCGCCATTATTTCCTGAAATAACTTTTCTGGCCCTTTCTTTTTTGCTCCTTTGATTTATATACTGTGACTACTATTACTCTGGTGTTGTCCCAGATGTCCCTTAAGGTATCCTCAGTTTTTTAAAACACTTTTTAATTTTGCTGTTCTCTCTAGGTGAGTACTGTTTTGTCTTCCAGCTCATTTATCTGCTTTTCTACTTCATTCTGTCTGTGGTTTGGCCCCTCCATTGTATATTTTAGTTCTTTCATTTTGTTCTTCAGCTCTGTAACCCCTGTTTAGATCATTCTTAAGTTTTCTGGTTTATTCATTCTCCCAAGCTCAGTGAGCATCTTTATAACCATTACTTTAAATGCATCAAGTAGATTGTTTAAATCCTCTCATCTTTTCCAGGGATTTTTTTTTTTTGTCTTGCTCTTTCATTTGGGGTGTGTTCCTTTGCCTCCTTTTCGTACCTAATTCTCTGTGCTTGTCTCTGTATATTAGTTAATCTACTACTTCTCCTGGCTTGGTCCCAGCAAGGTGAACTTTCAGAATTGAAGGAGGGATTAAAGAATTTCCCAGATAAGCAAAACTAAAGGGAGTTCATCCCACTAACTCAACCTTAAAAGAATTGTTAAACATGCTTCTTTAAACTGAAAAGAAACAGTACTAACAACCAGAAGGCACAGGAGGAAAAAATCTTGCTGGAAAGGTGATTATGCAGTGAATGTAGTGGATCAGTCACTTAAAAAGTTTGAAGAATAAAAGGCAAAAACAGTAAAATTAACTAAAGCTATTATATTTGTCAAGGGATACACATAATATAGCTATCAAATGAGACTTTGAAATATAAATTACAAGAAAAAGAAGTAAAAATTAGAAAGTTTTAGAATGTTTTTAAAGTTAAGGAGATATCAGCCATAAACAGAACATTATACACACAGGATATTCTGAGTAGTCAGACAGACATAGTGAAATACTGTATAATCTCACTTGTGTGTGGAATATGAAAAACAAACAACTCAGAGAATAGAATTGGTGGTTGTTGTAAATGGGGGCAAAAATGGGGGAAATGGGTGATGGTTACCAAAAGGTAAAACAAATCAAAACAAAACCTTACAGTTATAAGATAAATAAGTCCTGGGGATGTTATATACAGAATGGTGATGATAGCTAACAATATACCATTTATTTGAAATTACTAAGCAAGTAGTTTTTAAAAGTTCTTCTCACAAAGGAAAAATGTAACTATGAGGTAATGAATGTCAACCAAACTCACTGTGATAGTCATTTGCAATATATATACATATATCAAATGTTATATGGCAATTATAATTCATAAATCTGGGAGAAAAAAAGAATTATCAGGTATAGTACAATATAGGAAACTGGATTTTTAAATTGTAAAGTAATGCCCACATTATAAAAATTAAGACAAGGCACAATAGGAAAAGAAGATGAAAATGTACAGAAACAGTGTTGAAAAAAACTTAGCTATTTAAAAAATATTTCAAATATCATTTGCCACCTCATAAAGCTTAGAAATAAGATTATTTAAAAAGGTTTAAACTTTGGAAAACAGTTGGCTAAACTGTAAGTAAAGAGACTGTAGTCAGAGAACTTTTACCAAATTTCAGTGTTAATATTTCCTAAACTTAAAATCATCCAAGCTTACATGCAAAAGAGAAGCCACTTTACCAGGATTTATTTTTCCTTTATCGTTGTTTATAATACTCATTTGGTCCTATAACATATATGGTACATACCATGCCCTATAAAAAGAATACATAACAAGAGAATACTTATCTCTAGAAACAGAAAAAAAAATCTAATGCCTATATCTTCTGCTTTAAATATTTTTTATTAATTAAATGGGGTAATATAAGATCTTAATTATAATGACAAAGCTTAGAAACCAATTAATTTATTTATTACTTTTTCTAGTTCAAAGTCCTTTTTTTAAACTTTTATATAATCTCATTTATTTTGGCATATTTTATCCATGAAACAAACTGTCCTTCCCTTCTTTTATTAAAAATCATTATTTCTTATTAAATTCTACTCCCAGTATGTAGTGTAAACAAGGCCAACAGATTAATTGCACAGTAATGAGAAAATCAACAAGGATCTGCTTCAGAATAAGGAAAACAATTAGTAGTAAAGATTTATACTCCTCCCCCAACATTACATCTCTCAACAAAGAATTCTTGCTGAACTTTTTTGAAACGTGTGTAGTGGGGCAGGGTTTAGAAAAACTATAGTTATAAATGTGTATGTGTTAGCAATGATAACTGTGAGTGAGCACAAGGAAAATTTGTGCAATTTCCATTTGTTGCACTGACATCTCATGTAAACTAAATTAAAATATTAAAAGTAATAGGATTTTACTTCAAAAGTCAGAATTAGAGCAATTTCTTAACATAGTGATAATTGCTACCCTAAGAACTAATGATAATAAACAAATAACCAGAACTCTTACTTTATATTCTTTCCTTTCCCCTCTCCCCTTAATTTCAACTCAGTTTGGAAGTGTCAGAGCTAAAAATGAGTATTTCTTCTCATTTGCATTGAATTGCTAGCTATTGTGCCAGAATGTCACTTCCCGAAACACACACACTATTTCTACTAAAAGGGATTTATAGTTGACTGTGACAAACACATCAGATTGATTTAAATAAAATCTACTGTACCATTTAAAAATGTTTTATTTTTATAGAAAAGCTTGTTATTAAGAGAGGAGTTCAAAACTGAAAAAAGCAGCAACACAAAATGAAGCTATCAGTTGATACCCAAGATTACTCCATATTTTGAAGTTGCTGTGGCCATCACTGTATATCCCAAAAGAGATCTTTGGCTCAGACCAATACTGACATGACCGTTCTAGGAACTGGGGACGGTGGTAAACCGGGTGTAATCCTCACTCCGAAGGGTTGGCGAGGGATGTTAACAGTCAAGCTGGAGGACAGGAGTCGGCGGTATAGGGATGAATGCCCCGTGGAGTGAGGGGTTCGTCGGAAGCCTCTAGCCCACACTTTGGGGAGGGAGGTGGGGAAAGGGAAGGAAGCCACAGCCTCCAGGAGACTGGAGTGCTGCAGAAGCCAGAGAGAACTTTCCGAAAACTGAAAGCAGTTCAGGTAGGAAAAGATCAGAAGAGTGGCCCCTGATAAAATACCTAGCTGGAGATATAAGAAACAGGATTAGAAGGGATTTTATAAAGATAATTTCAAGAGCTAGGACTTTATCACGCGGGCAACAGAGATTCCCCCGAAAAGATTTTAAAGAGGAGTAACAGGGTCGGGTTTACTTTGAAACAAAATATCTACCTGGTTGCGGAGTCGAGATCCCAGAGGGTCAAAATCCGAGGCCGAGAGACCAGCGCGCAGGTAACTGCGGTAATCCGGTAGGGAGGACGCCGGTGGGCGGCCCTGGGGTAGCCAGAGCGTGCGGGGAGTGAAAACCAGACAAGTAACGGAATTAATACGGCTCCTGAGGCTTAAAGGGTGGGGAGCTCACCGCCAAACTGTAGCCATGCAGTAGCTCCGAAGGGATATGGGAAGTTTGGAGAGAGAACGTGAGCTCCGTTTAGAATACATAGGTTAGGAAATCTTTGTGGCACCCAAATTAAATATTCCTGCAACTCGGGACTGGGTGGTCTGGATGCAGGCTCACACTCAGCGAGTGGAGGAGACCATTCAGAGCGTGCTGAGCAGAAGGCGGTTAGGACAAGCTCCCCAGGGACGCCCACCCAAACAGCGGGAAAATTGCTTCTGTTCCACTCTTCTTTAAATCTGCGCGGAATCACAAAACATGCCAAGAGTTTTAGGGGAGTTCGTTGCTCCCGTTTTGCAGGTAGGGAAATGAGACTTTGGGGTATCGGCTTGTTTAAATCCACCTGGCGGTGAGTCTGACTTCCCTTCTCTTAGCCCTACTCTTCCCTATCATCATCTCACAGCACCCGATTGCCGGAACATATATTATTTCTCATATTTAGGGTAGAATAGATCACAAAAGTGTATTTTGCTTCTTTAATGTTGTTTGCTCCTTTTCTCCCTACCCCCACGATAAAATATTACATGATCAGCCTGCAATTTTAATAAATATCCCTAGGCATTAAAATATATATAACGACTTTTTAAAAAAAAATCGGGCAGAGAACAATTTAGACTATATCTCCACCAGTAAGGACACAACTTCTTTAAATTCTCGGTATTGACAGATTCTGGGCTTACGTTTTTTAACTCTGCACGTACATCCCGGGTTTTCCTTCTCCGGGATGGGCCTGCTCGCCTCCCCCTCTCCCGCCCCTCCTTTCCCTTCCTCCGCCCGCCTCCCCGCACCACCTGCTCCTGGCGCCTCTCCTCCTCCCGCCTCCCCGCCCGAGCCGGTTCTCACGCGCAGCCCGAACCCCTCCCCTCCGCTCCCGCCCCATTCACTTCCGCGGACCTTCAGAGTCGGAACCAGCAGGCTTCACTCCTGGCTTCCCAGCCCCTCCCGCGCTCCCGCGTTTCCCCTCCCTCCTCCCGCTCCGCGCCCCCCACGAAGTTCCCCCCCCCGCCCCGCACCGCCCCCCGCGAGGACCTCAGGGGCGGTCCCAAGCCGGCCGTCGCCGATTGGTTGCTTTCTCCGAGCCCCGCCCCTGTGCACGCGCAGGAGGTGGGGTGGGTAGGATGCGGGAGCGCGCAGCGCGGCCCCGCGACCCGGGCGTTCGTGACCCGCGTGCTGGCCCTGACGTCCGGGCCCGTGTGCCCGCGAGTTGGTGGCGGGCGGTGTCTGGGTACAGCCGGATTGGAGGTTCGCGTACCGCCGGAGGCTCTCTTTTGCCCCAGAAGGCGCTTCCCTGCCACAGTCAGCCGGGCGTCCCGCAGGTTCTGGGACCTGCCCGAAGGGCCATCGCAGTCGCCAGCCCGGTTGCCCGGATGTCGTTGCCCCCAGCCACCCGGCCGCCGACGCGCTTCTCTGCCCCGGGAGGAGGCTCCTCTTAAAGGGACAGCGCCGTGTTTGAGCCGGAGGGGTTGGTGTATTTTGCCCTTTGAGTGCGGTCCCTGCCCTGCGGGAACTCCGCTGCGTCGGCAACCCCGAGCCCTCTCCTTCGGGACAGGCGCAGTTGGAGCGCGGCGCGCCCAGCCGGGTGATGACCGCAGATGGCCACCCGGAGGCCAGGTTTTCCTCTGGCGCGAGCTGTGACCGGTGGCGCCGCGCGGGGCCGCGAGGCGCCGGGCTGTGATTGGCCGAGGCTGCCGTGAATGCAGGACATTGTCTGGTCGCGGTCGTCTCTGTCCCTACACGGCCGCCCTTCCCGGATCAAAATGGTGCGGAACTAGGGCCCTGGATGGGTCTGTCCCCACCGGTCCCGGGTGCCTTCTATAGTGGGAACAGCATGGTGGGAAATGTAACTTTTACGAGATCATGGATTCTGAGAATCGCATAAAGGTGCTTTCAAACAAAATCATTCTCAACAAGGAAATGAAGTCATTGTGTTTCACATCAAGATTTCTTTTTTAAGATGCAAAATATTTTATAGTCATCGAAAAGAGCCAACTGTTTGAAAAAACTTTTTACATTTTTGTTTTAAAGAGCCCTTTAATTAGTATCTATAATTCACCTATGTTATGTAATATTATGTATTAGGTATATATATATATATATAATCCTGTCCTGGACAATCTTTCTGGGTCTTAGTTTCCATCTGTGTGAAAGAACGGCGCTGTTCTGGTAGCTCTCCAAGTTTGCTTCCATTGTTAAAATAACTGATTCTGATTCTACACTTAAAATCTTGGTTTATTCTTTACATTGGATCATAGCTCAAGGCCGTGCACTAAATGAGACTTTAAAAGAGCCCTTGAGAAGAATATAGTTTTCAGATTGTCTTTGAAAATTTGCGGGAGTTATTTTAGTGGAGCTGTATGTAATCATTTGGTGTGTGATTTGGAGTAAAGAAAGATGATAGCAGGAGAAAAATATATGGAGATCAATCTGACATTGGTCAGTCAATGTAAAGAGGAGGGTTTTCTTTTATTCTAAAGTCGTTTTTTAGGGAATGGAATATTATAATCAAGAATAAATATCTTTCCTGTTTTGTTCCTGGTATCAAAAGAGTAAGAAGATGGCAAAGGAGAGAAGACACATAGGAAATAGAGCTTCATAAATCAAAAATGATTGGAGAGTTTTGAATAAAATAAAGTTGGAATTTACTTTTTAAAAAAACTGGATAGGAAAAATTATTGTAGAGTTTAAAAAATAAATGGTGTTTTCTTCAGTCAACATGAATTAGAGACTTAAAAATGACAAACAAATGAAGGAAAACATCCAGAAAAAGATAAATTTAATGAACATGATTCATTGCAAGAGACATGACCTCACTCCTTATTAGAGGGATTTCCACCAAACTAGACTTGATGTTAAATAAATTTATTTCAGACTTTCCTCAAAATTACACTAATTTAATATGGCTGTCTTTTGGTTTTGATACAGAAAGGGGAAGAAATGCAGGAAAAAATTGCAAGCATTGTTGCTTCCTGGAATGATTGCTCTGACTTGTCACCCTCACCAGTCATAATGTAAGAAAAAGAAAAAGAAATCATCAACAAAGATTGTAGCTGTCCCTGGAACACGAATAGTTGTGTGGATATCTGGGAATGAAGCAAATTTAGTTCTGTTGATTTAAACTTCTAGCACTTGCTGATTTCTATAATTAAACTGATCTTACTTGAAAGTCATGGATATATGATTAAAATTTAGAGATTAAGTTGAGTGAAATGAAAGGTGTTTATAACAAACATAAGCAGCAGGGAATATGACACTATCAGGTATGAAGTCTTGTCAAATTAGTTTGAGACATTTTCAGCAAGTCTTTTCCTTAGGTTTTTACTTTGGTTCTCATTATAACTGTGGATTAATCTCTGTAGTGATAATATTTATGGAAGGCTTGGTGTATGCCAACACTGTCCTAAATATCTTCTTTGCTCTTTGTGAAAATATTGGGGGGTGAAAATAATTATTACCCCAAGTTTAAAGATGCAGAAATTGAAGATCTAGAGGTTCGTGACTTTTCCAGCAATAGACAATTACTGGATATAGAGCTGGGGATCAGGCCTAAAATCCTGTCTGATTCTGTAAAGCCATGTGGCTAAACAGAACCACTAATCTCACTAAACAGACTTATTTAGCTCTCTGGATATGATTAATAATGCATTTTTGATCAGATTTTTTTGACAGTTACTCATTTAAATATTTGCATTAGCTCTTTTATTCATTGAGATTTCAGGATACCATGTGGATACAAGTTTGCCATCTGTATTTATTTTGTTATGGAAGTCAAACATCTCTCTACATGGACAGTAGCACTTGGGAAATTCCTCTCACCCTATGCTTTTCTGTCTTTTCTCTTTCTTCAGATCTCTACACACCTTATTAGCCAGGTTTGGAGCATCTCATTGCTGTCAGTTCTTGGCTAAATGCTTACATGTCACCCAGCCCTTCAGAAAATAGAGAAGGGAGAAGGAAGGAATGCAAGTCAGGAATTACTGAGGTTTGGTCACATAAAACTGGGAGAAAGGACTGTAGTCTAACCGTTTTTCCTTTTTAACATTCCTGGGTTTGTACCTTTGGCTGAAGAGTGCACATCCTTAATGCCAGTCAAGGCGAAAGGCTTGCCACCCCTCACATTTATCAGAGTCTCCGTAGGCCCTGCTTTTATAGGGTGACCACTAGCCCATTCCTCTGTAGCTTTGCCAAAGAGAGGGAAGCAAGGCAGTCAGTCTCACATCAATCCTTATCCTTCCTTGTTTGCAGTGCCTGTATCAGGGGGTTTAAAAAATTAGAAATAAAATTATTCTGGGGATCATTTGTGACTCATTAATCCATGTGATTTCAGATGCTCATTATCACTGAAAATTGAGTTGACTAAGTCTGTTTAACTTTTGTGATTAAGGATCAGCATTAGGATTTGATGTTCTGGGAGCTGAGAAGGATAAAAGGATTGTTTTCCACCCTCCTCCCACTCCCACCTGCAGCTAGAACTTAGTGCTCTTTGTCCTTGGCCAAAAAGCACTTCTTCTCCCTGAAACACTGGCAGGGAATCCCACAAAGCAGGCTGCAGAACAGGATGGCCCTGTCAAACCTGACCCACTGAGTCCTAGTGCTGCTGTGGGTGACAGGCAGTACTGAACATAGTGTCTTCACACCTGAGGTCTCCAGAGGGGCAGGGCTGTTACTACTTACTGTTTCTCAAATACAAATACTAAGACATTTCACAAATGTGTCAATCTAATGCCAAGCACCTTGTCTTAACTACCTTTAAGGTACCTTTAAGGCACTAAGATACCACTTAGTGTTCAACAGGTGGCTACCCTCTCTTCCTGGGCGCCAGCACACAACTGGACTCTGGTAGTGCAATTTTCTCACTGTACCCTGTCAGCCTAGGGGCACCCCTGGCATCCTGTGGTGGCTGGTCCCCAGAAGGCTTCCCTGTTGATTCCTTTCACTCTACCCACATTTCTAAGAAGTCTTCAAAATGTCCAAATGTGACTTTCATTTCCTCCTCTGATCTTGTCTGATTCACAACTTCATCATTAGCTGGCCCTGCCCCACACCTCAAGTGAACCTGTGTTCTCTCTCTTCTGTATCCTTGTTCTGTCAACCATCAAACTACCCTTCCTCCCCCTGCACACTTTGACCCTCAAGTGTGCTGTTCTTTTGGTTAAAAATACTCTCTGAAACTTCCTTG